ATATTTTTCAAACCTTAAAAAAATTGGGTGGGTCCCCCCTTTTTTTTTTTTTTTTTTTTTAAAGGAGTTTCTTTAATGTTGCATTTAAAATATATGCCCTATTTTTTTTTGAGGAGTTGCACTGTGGCAACATTTTAAACTCATTTTTAGTTTTTAGGCGAAATCATTTTTCTTCAAAAAGTTGAAACATCTTTATTTTGTACGTGCTTATATTTAGATTTGTAGATATGATCAACTCAGTAAGAAGCAGTTACATAAAATTTTAGATGAAACATTAAAAAGTAGAGTCTGTGTTTGGTTGGCCGTCCTATTGATAGAATAAGTTTTTTGATCGTTTAATCTGATTAAAATAAAATGAGATTACAAAAATATGTAAAACATCCGCTTCCTAAAAAAAAAAATAAGTTGTATTATTTTTTACATGAAAAAACGTAACATGATACTAATACTGACATGTAAAAAAATAAAAGTAATCAGGTTAATTAAATTATTTCATGTTACATATATTTTTAATAAGATTAGAAAAAAAAATTACAAATAATATTTTATTTTTAATTATCAGATATGTATTATAAATAGTTAATTTTATATTTTTTTAATTTAATATAATTTTAATTAAATTTAATTTTAACACGGCAATATAAAAATTATAAAATAACAGAGAATAAAATTTTAAGGAAAAGAAAAAGTAACAAAATTTTAGATAAATAGTTAATTTTATATTTTTTTAATTTAATATAATTTTAATTAAATTTAATTTTAACACGGCAATATAAAAATTATAAAATAACAGAGAATAAAATTTTAAGGAAAAGAAAAAGTAACAAAATTTTAGGGAAAAGAAAAGGTGACAGGGTTGATATTTATGCAAAAGCATGGTGATGGAAGATTCTCTCTCTTAATAGGGAAGGCTTTATCTCCCTCTTTTTGTGTGTGGAGCCAGCGTCTCACAATTGTGCCCCTCAACAGTCGGTTCCTCTAGTTTTGTTGGGTTCGTTCTCTTTTGTAAAAATAACTCTTTTAAAAAATTTTATTAATAAAATAATTTTTTTAAAATTTTTATTTATAAAATGACCTCATCTTATAAAAAATGAGTAAATATTTTTTTTTATAAAAAATAAAAAAAATCATTTTATTAATTTTATTTTATTAAAAAGTCATTCTAGCATATTATTTCGGAAGCTTCATTTTCATTTTCTCTTTTTTTTTTTTTGGTGTATTGTTACTTAGAATCGACATTTTAGCCGCCTTTTAATTCTCTCATACCTCAATATATAAATAAGAAACCAATCTTGAAGTCTTCATATCGTTTTTTATTAGCTTCTTTTTCAATCAAAAACCCAATTCTCATTTCTGCTCTCAAAATCTTCGAAACAGGAAAGTTTTATCGGTTTCTGACCTCTTCTTCAGAGAAGACAAAAAAAAAAAAAAAAAAAAAAAAAAGAAGAGGGGTAACAGCAACATCCTGTCGGTGTTCCTCCTCCTCAAGGTACCTTATTTGGCTCTCTGATGTTTCTTCAATTTTGCTTTCTTTGGTTTTTCTGGGTTTCATAACAGCTGTTTTGTTTTTCTTTTTTTTTTTTCCCCTTATTTTTGTTTTGTTTTTATTTTTTTATTTTTTTATTTTTGTAAAGGTTACCCTACAAAGGACGCCTACCCTCAAACGGGTTACCCGGCTCAAGGATATCCCTATCCTCCTCAGGGTTATCCTCAAGATGGATATTATGCCCAACCTCCTAGGAGAGAGAGATCAGACACTGGTTGCATTGAAAAAGGTTGGTGTGTTTTTTTTTTAACTCTTTTTATTTTATTAATATTATTGTTGTTCTTATTCTTATTTGTTGCTGACAATGAAATCGTGCTGTTTTATAACCCGAATTTTTAATTTGAATTGAGATATAATTTTATATTAAAATTTTTTATTCTAACAAAAAAAATTAAATGTGATTATTTTTTAAAGTTTTTTACTGTAATAAAACTCAAATTTTAAATTTAAATCGATGAAATGAACGAGATTTTAGTGTTAGATGTCTCCGTGTTTGTTGCATGTAAATAATTTTGGATAGTTGTTACATAAAAAGATTTGATTTTAATGCCATTTTATTTTTTTCAGGAATTTGTAAATTTTGTGCCAGAACAAAAAAAAAAAAAGAACACTTCCTTTTCTCATGTTTTTGAATTTTTGTGGTGTGGGATTTCTTTGGTGATTTTGGGTTTTCAAAACGATGAAAGTTTTTGTAAAATACAACTTTTTTTTTTGCAATATCTAGAATATTTTACTTTTGGCACAAGAGAGTTTACAGTTGCCTTGTAGGAGTGATATTCCTTTTGGTGATGGGTCCTAGCATAGTTATTTTCATTTAGATTATATTCTCTTGAATTGGAATGCCTTAATTCCCTTAATTATACGGAAACAACGTTATTTGCTATAATTGTGATACCATGTAAATCAGATTTTAGATATTCAGAAGCAGGAAAAAGATTTAAAAATCTATATATTTGATTTTATTTGAGAGTGACCTAATTTTGAACATAAATTTAATTTTTAACATTATAGTAAAAAGACAAACGTGCAGCATAACTTACGAAGTTGTTTATTTTTGCCTCTGCAGCTTGGCGGCACTTTGCTGCTGTTGCCTTTTGGATGCTTGCTTCTGAGGAGAAACCTTCTGGCTGAATAGTAGTGCTGATTGATTCAAATTTGTAGTTGTAATACCTTTATCTTTGGGGAAATTATTTATGTCTTAAAAGTTAGATTGTGTCTAAAATAGCATTCTAGAGATGAAATATATACTTATGTAATAATGTCTTTGGCCTTGTAATAAATATAACTTTGAAGATTTTTCATGCATTTTATTTTATATATGATGTATGAAGATGATTACATATCTTCTTCTTTCCCCATGGAAGAGTATAATTTGTTTTTGAAATATTACACACACATACAGGATTTTTAGATTATGTACTTGTATATTGAAAAAAAGATTAGCATAAAAAATCACTAGTTTGCCACCTCTTTAACTGCTCGTAATAGGGATCCACGGGCGGCGGGGTCAGGCGGTTTGTGAAAAATTGGGAAATTATGGGTTTGTTCAGTTACATTTTCGAGTTATAGTGATTTGAGTGTGAATTTGAGTTAAATTTAACTTATAATTTGAGTAAAAGTTATAATTTGAGTTTGTATTTGGTTGTGTACATTTGAGTTATGGTTTAAGATGAGAATCTTTTTGAGTTTGTATTTATATGGGTTAAAATTTAAT